TGAGTGAACGGAAGGAGTGAAAGAAAGTGCTTTATAATCTGTATCCGGTTTTTACAATGTGTTCTTTATATTCCCCGTATTTCATAAAAAAAAGTGGATATTAGTATTACAGTTAATAGTGCAGTCAAAATACATCAAAATGTTTTAGGTGCACAAATCCATGAACGATGGATATAAAAACTGATTGGTTTTCTTGCATTTTAAATGACAACAACTTTTGATATGATTGAAAACAGAATTTGATATGTAAAATGATGACAAAATTGGATTCGTTCGGCCAACTCGTGCATTCCCCCTGATCATCAACCACTCTTCTTGGGGATATATATTATTTTCCCATTCTAGTCGTTAAGAATGTGATTTGAAACTGGTTCGAGTTTATTGGATAAAGTGGGTTAATTTAAAAAATAAAATAAAATTAATTGAGCAGAGAGTATTGAGTCGAATTTTTGAGTTTATATTTAAATATTATTTAAATGTACGATTAAAGTTGATGTAATGTAAATAAATCAAATTAATAGTCACGTGTTGGGAGAAAATTAAAATTTAATTAAGTTGAAATGAATAACTCGATACTTTAGATATCAGTAAGAATTCCAATGAAAATACATATGTTGTAATGGAATTTTCAACTGCAATCTCAATGAATATTTGAATGTTATTACTCACATTGAAATTCCAATGGAAATATATATGTTCTAAGGTAGTATATTTCAATGAAAAATTTCAACAGATATTCCAATAGTATAGTTTCCGTGAGAATGATTCCAACATAATTATTCAGTTCGAATAAGTTCTTCATAGGAATTTAGATGAAATTTGATCATTCCAGTGGCTATATTTCCAACGAATTTTTACTGTGGTAATTTCCGTTGGAATATACATTTTCTGTCGAAATTTTTATTTTAACCCATATTTCAGCTGTTGGAAATATACAGTTGGAATCGTCAAAATCTAATGAAAATTCTAATGAAAAACTCATTTCAACGTAATATCTTTTATGAAAATTCAGTTGGAATCCATTAAAAAATTCCAACGAAAATAATAGAATCGGTATATCCATTGAAATTGTAGTTCGAATTCCATTTGAATATATTTTTGTTGAAATTTTTCGGTGATATTTCATTCAGTAGCTAAATTAAATTTTAAGCTAGTAACATAAATTTCATTTTTAGTACCCATTTGTTAATCTCCAAATCACTATTCGGAATTTAAAATACCAATAAAGTCTGCTAATTGTTACAAAATATATTTTTAGTACCCATTTTTTAATCTCCAAATCATTGTTAGGAATCTAAAATTCCAATAAAGTCTGCTAATTGTGACAAGAATGATGGTAGGTGGAGGTTGGTGGTCAACACTGCCACCCAGAGATTATCTATCTACCCGTTAAATTGCCTTGACTCCAATACTTTGGACTTAGAGGTGGCCAATTGCCGGGCCGGCCCGGGTCGGCGGGCCTCAATATCATGGCCCGTGCAGGTTATGAACCGCCGGTTTACGAACCGATACGGTCTTTAAAAAAAAATAACACCGTGGCCCACCGGCGGACTCGTGGCCCGGCCCAGGCCTAAGGCTAGGGTGGGCTCCAGCCCCATGTAATTTTTTGCTAATTTTATTTTTGCTAATCTTATTTTTTAAAAAAATTTATACAAGACCCATTAGCCCCAAGTAATTTTTTATGTAGCTCTATATAATTTTGGGCTGAATGCCTCAAGAATATCTTCAGGTTAAAATTTTTTATCTGACAACAATGGTGAAAAAATGATGATTGTAGTGAGAAAAAAATACAATCCTTTATTGTCAAATGACAATTATGACCTTATTAGATTTTATCACTTAAGTTTATAATGTGACCCAACACATTCTTGCCTTCTAAATTTTTAATCGGTTGACTTGATAAATATTAAATGAGCTGGATAATTAAACTTGACACAGACTTCTCCAACTGACTATTTAATTGGGTTCGTCTCAGTCCACAGTCCGTTATCCATTTTCATTTATTTATTTATTTATATGTTGATTTCGCCTCCAATAATTAACTCGGCATCATTTCCTAGACAAATAGAAATCTCGTAGAGTTGATTGCAAACATGTTTGACTCTATTTGTTTGATCGACAAGTTCGATTAACTATTTGAGTTTGGCTTGTTTATATATAAAAGCGATTCAAGATTTAGTTTTTCCAATTCAAACAGACATATGTCAAATGATATTTTGTTTCTAATCATAACCAAAACTGGTTACAGGTCGATACCGTCAATACCGGGCCGAGAGTTGGAGGACCATAAACTGGCGCGAACATATGTACGGGCCGGTTCATTAAAAAAATAAAAATAATTAAAATAATATTTTTTAGAAAAAGGCAGAATCTCGGATTCCGGTTCTAATTCGGAACTGAAACGTCATGTTCAAAATGTATAAACTATAAGGTATTGTACATGAACCGAACTGGTCAAAACCACGGGCCAGTTCATGACCCATGGTCAACGGGCCAATTTGTGTTGGTTCGGGCCGAACCGACTGGCTGGTTTGGCCCATGACCATGTCTAGAAGGTTCCAATAATAGCTACAATAATATGCAGCCCCAGGTTAAAAAAACTTCCTGGCTACGCCCCTGGCCCGGCCTGAACCGGCAAGTCAAAAAAAAAATTATGAACGGGACCGAACCGCGATCCTAAGGGTCCGGTTCAACGAACCGGCCCTTAGGAGGCCGGTTTGGGCTGGGTCGGGACCGGTTCACGGGGTGGTTCGGCCGTGGACATGCCTATTTGGACTATTTCTCACTCCCATTCTTTTTTTCTCAATGTATGTAGTCTATCATCATACTTAGAGCTCAATATGGGACCGTGTGTTTCAATCCACATATAACATTTCCAATAACTCCATCACTAAACAAGTGAAATTTTGTTCAATATATAGATATAGATCTCTTGGCAAGAGTCTATATAGTGATGAATATTATATTTATACATCTATGTATTATAGTTAACTATTATGCATATTGGTTTGTTAAATAACTCATACACGTACGGGATTATGCTTATTTTTATTATACTAGTACAACACCCGTGTAAATACACGGGTGCTTGTTAAAAAATTTATCTTAAATTTTAAAATTAATGAGAAAATTATATTAAAATTAGTTTACTTTTTTACAAAAAAATATATATTACTATATATTTTAGAATGATATGTGTTACTTATGACTTACATGTGTTATATTATATTTGTTTTTATAACTTATATCATTATCATATAACTACTTGAAATATAAATATATTAGTTGATAAATAATTTTATTTTTCTAATTAATATTAAAAATAATTTTATTATTGTTATAAAGATAAATATAAATTATCTTTTTTATACATACAATATGGATGTTAAATCGAAGCTCATCAAAAGAAGATTAATTTGATATATTACATATGTAAAACTGATAAAAAATACAAAAGTTATTAACTTTTAAAATATATATACAATTCAATAGTTATAATAAGGAATGATATTAAATGGCAATTAATACATGTAACATGACCATAAATAATCAACATATTTATGGTAATCCAAACCTAATTATTTTTGGTTTGGAATTAAATTAAAATTTACTCAAGTCTAACAACGAAGCATGTAATTTTGCCACATAGGATTCCGAAGCACCAGAAGCAGCCACGTAGGCTCAGCGCGTTCTGGATTAATATATAGGGGGGATTTCTATGGCCAAGTCAAAATTGTAATTTGCCTTACTAAAGCGGATTTATTTATTATTGCGTCAAACCCAAGCGTATACTACTCGCATAAATTGCAAACTGATGATACTACACCAAATGAAACCCGGTTCAACCTAGCCGAACTCATTAAAACATCTGGTTGAACTTGATGACCCGATCATCGCATACAGAGCAGTCTACGGTGGAGCTGTCGACCTGCAAAGTGGGATGAGAAATTCTCCCAGCGATAGCACTGGGACGATCAAGTCGGTGTGAAAGATGTAGAGAAAGGTGGAGATCATAAGTAAATGCATATAATAATAATGAAGTAGAGGATCATGATAAGCATGTTCTTACTCTCTATTTATTGTGGTGACCTTACTTTAATTGTTGTGTTGGTGCTCAATTAAGGGCTACCTAAAAGTACAATGGGTTGCCGGAAAGGTACAACTGATTGCCCATATGAGTTGTCCGAGATTTGTTCTTATCTTGATTATTGACTTGGATTATCTGATCAAGTTGACCGTTATACTTTGAGTACTGAGTCGTTTAAATTATTTAGGTCATTTGGAACACTTGGGTCATGCCTTAAGTAGTTTCAGAATCTGTTTGGGTTATTTGGGCCGATTAATCTTGGTCGAGCTATAGCGTTTAGGTTGAGTTTTAACGCGGGTCATTCGTCTAGGCATTTCAGGTCGTCGCACTAATTAAGCATTCTGGGTCATTCGGGTTCAACTGTTGGTCGCCTAGGTCGTTTTATAGTGAGTAAAATATTTAGGTCAATTTATATATAGCGAGTACTTAGGTCGTCCTTTTAAGCATTTTTGGTCATCCGACTAAACACTGGGTCATTTGAAGGGGTAGTCGGGTCTTTTGATGGCCCAGTCGGGTCGCTTATCATATGGGTCACACTCTAAAGTGATTTTGGGTCGTTCGGGTTTCTTAGGACAATTCGGGTCGAGCATTTTGACCATAGAAATTCAAAAAAGAAAAAGTTTAATAATTCATAGTGTAGACAGCATGTTACATCAAAAATAAAAAGAGAAACAAAA